TGGCAACTGTTCTGCTGCTGTACCCAATAGCTGCTGAAAGAATTGTGTGAATTCTTGTTGAATTTGCTGTGGATCAGTAATTCTCATCTGGTTTTTATTGTGGATACAACTCACCTTATTCCTTGCTTGTCTGGACTTCATATATACATGGAAATACTTGGTATTGCAGTCCCCCAACTGGATCCAAGTTGCTCTTGATTTCTGCCTCAGTATCTGTTCTTGAATTGCCTCCCATTTATCAATGCTCTCTAGGGATTTCTTTTCTTCATCAATCAACACTCTGTTGAAGTGATCTTCATTCAACTTTCCTTGTATCACCTTCAAGTCTTCTCTCATTCGTTGTAGCTTCTGATCAACAGAGGAGTGCTCCTTATGTATGTCCCTGGTACATTGTTCAAGTTTCTTCAATTTGCTCCAAATAGAATACATAGTGCATCCTTTGATCTGCTGTTTCCAAATCCTCTGAACTGTTTCCTTGTACTCCTTTTGGTTCATCACTGTTGTTAGTAATCTATAAGGTCTTTTCACTTTGACTTTTACCACCTCAGTGTCTACCATTATAGGCGTGTGGTCTGAGCAACCAGGTAACATGTATACTGCCTCCACTCCAGTGTAAGAATTGAACCACTCACTATTTCCAAAAGCCCAGTCTATATGACTATAGACTCTAACTTCTGCATCCCTTTTGTTACTCCATGAAAAGCTATTTCCTCTTTTGGTAATCTGTCCCACTCCAATGTCATCAATGCAGTCCTGAAAGTCAGCCATTTCTGATTGATGCACTGGTTGCCCATTTATCCTGTCATCCACACTTAACACACTGTTAAAGTCACCCATTATAAGCCAAGGACCACTATGTTGGACATTTCTCAAGCTCCTCCATAGTGATACTCTGTGTTGTATAGTGTGTAGACCATACACGAATGTAATGTAGCTAGAAAATGTTGAATTCTTATCTTTCACCTGACAGTGAATCATTTGGTCTGTGCTTTTCAGAATTGTAACATGAACATTTATCTCTTTCCACATTATCCACATCCTTCCATTAGGTGCAAAGGCATAGTTATTCTCTACTTTCTACTCACCACCCATTTTCTTGTAGATTGCCTTTGATTTTTGCTGTTTCACTCTAGTTTCTAAGCAAGTTATCATATCTACTTTATTTATCCGCAAGAACTTCATTAATTCTCGCTGTTTATAGGACTTGTTCAGTCCTCTAATGTTCCAAGATACAATGATCATGGGGGGTTATGGTTACTTGAGCTGCTTCCCTGGTCCATTAGACCTATCCCATTTCTGGTTCCTTGCTTCTGTTGATTCCCATCTGATGGCTCCATTATAGTTAGTGCTGCAAATGCATTCCTTTTAGCCAACTCATCATAATTGATTTCACTATGTTTAATTCTATCAATTGATCCTTTTACAATTGCAACTTGCTTCCCTCTATTGTTCACCTGTACTTCCACCTCAGGTTGATCTATTGGTTCATCTTGCTGCTGAGTGGCTGTACTCCCCTCAATTACAGCTTTTGGTTGCCACCTCATTGTGGTTTTCTTCTTTCTTCTCCTTCTCTGCTTCTTTGGCCCTTCTTCTTGTTGCACCTCCTTTTGACAATCCCCAGTCTTATGCCCAAATGAGTTACAGTCTAGACAGAATGTCGGTTTCCATTCAAATTCCACATTCTGCAACCAACTTCTCCCATCTGGTATCTCAATATAGACTTCATCAGGCAAAGGCTGAGTTATGTCCATCTCCACAAGGACTCTAGCATAAAAAACTCTTTCACACGCAGCAGTTAGTTTGTCAGTGCATAAACCTTTTACTCTTTATTTTAGCTTAAAGTTCATTTTTCTTAACTTTGTGAAAAATTTGTTAGTTGAGGACTTGAGGGACCAAAAGTACATAACTCTATGCATGGAAGGTTAAATGTTCTTTGGATATTAAAATCATTAAAACTAAAACCTTAGTACATGATATTTCTTGTTATGAATAATTTTTAAAACTTTAGCATATGTGATTTTTATTTATGAATAATTTTTTACCTGATCTATTCTTGACTCAAACAATTTAAGCTTTTATTCTAATTCTAATTCTTCCTTTGTTTAACACGAATAGAGTTAAAAGTTTTAAGTTATGAACAATCATATAGGCAGAGTAAGCTTCCTTTAAGATGGTGGAGAGTATTAATTGAATCTATAATAAAATACCCAAAAACTGATATTAAAATTCCTAAGGAGAAACATATATTTGTTTATTTTATAAGACAGTATTTAATTGAATACAAAGTTTAACAAGTAAAAGAAAAGATAATGGCGCGTGCAGAAAATATTTATAAAATTTGTAATTTTAAATATTACATGACATTGTGCGACTACAGAAGCATATCAATAGACATAAAATATGAAGTTAAAGTAAATATTTAATACAAAAATATTCTTTTGCTTTTTAAGAAAATTTTAAAAAGAAAAGGAACGAGAATTTCTTTTTTTTTTCTCAAAAAAGTATCATATAAAAATAACACATGGAGTACTCTTTTTTTGGTAACATATACACGAAAAGTTTATTTTGAGCCTCATCTTTGAATATCTGAGTTCTAATTGTGCTCCTTTATTTAATACAAATTTTTAACAATGTATATAATGTTAGTATAACATGATATAAAACCAAATTGTTCGCAACTGAGAAGAAAGTCTCATTTCGAATCACAACCAGGAGCGAATTTAGGGGGCGGAAAAAATTACACAATATATAAGGCAAAATCTGTTTTTATCTCTATATATTAAGATTTGAATCCCTTTGACATAGCCCAAAAGAATAGCTTAGTGATCAAGATAGGTTCAGTTTTTACTAGCTACAATCTTTTTTAATTTTTTCTTTTTCAACTTCCTTAGCTACAATCTAACTTTTAACTTTGTCACATGGCTTACCCACTTTCTTACGATGTCTTTGGCAAGAGTTTAACTTATATAACTCGATCACGTTAAAAAAAGTTATAATATCAAGTTACCCAAAAAAAAATATATTTTCTATATAAAAAGCAAAAATTTTGTAATATAAAAAATAAAGTATGTTAATTACCTATTATTTACAATAGATAATTATGAATTTATAGTGTACATTTTCTTTTTATAAAAAAAAATGGATGTATATAAATTAAATTGCATTTGCAATATGGAAAGAGTTTAAATTACGTAGAAAAAATTATACTATGATGTCACCCAAAGGATATCTACAGGTTGTCTTTGTCAAAGTATAATATTTATCAATTATTACATGCTACAATAAGTAAAAATGATATTGTGATGTAAAGTTTTTAAAAGTACTAAATATGTATATAACTTAAACTCATATAAGGAAGTATTATTGTAACCATGGGCGGATCTATGTAGGTCATTGGGCGTGGCACGACACCAATACGTTCCGGTAAAAGTTTATGTATGTACAAGTATTTTACATCGAATCGGAGCGAATTAATTCAAAATCGATCGAACTGATTAAAGGTATTTTGAATTTAATCTCTTTTATTAGTTTGTATTAAAGACAGTGGCACCCGTAATTATCAAATTCTGAATGTGTTTGTAACTTCTTTATTTTTGTCACATGGCTACTTTCTCACTGTGTATTTGCAATAAACTGTATTCTCACTAACCATAGTTACCTTCCAAATAAAGAACATTATTATCTTAAACAAACTCTAGTTTACCTTGATTTTCTACTAGTCTTCCTTTTTCTCCTCCTCCATTTGCCCATCCCAAAGCTCTACACTTTTTCTTCTCCCTCCACCCTCTGTTTGTCCATTTCAAGAATCTTAGTAGTAAACTAAACCAACTTTTCTTATAGTATTAGCTTAAATCTTTGAAAGTTACCCACCTCGAATCCATCATCATCACACACACACACACAATCTTTCTCTCTCCAATTTCATCAACCAAGTAAAATGTAGAGTCTTGTGTATGAAAAAAAAATTGGGTCTTTCTCTGTTTCTTGAATAGTAGCTTCCCCTGTTCAATTCTTTCTTTTCTCCAAAACTGACAGTTTTCAGTTAGGCAAAAACTCAAACACATTGTGTGCTGATAAACTGGTTAGTTATTGGTTAATTGGTGATGAGACAAAAACATAGTACTTTGTTTTTACTCAAATGGGAAGAAATATAATTAATGGTGGTGTTCATAGTTGGAAAATAGCGCCACCACCAATTTCAAGTTTGGCACCAGCGGTAAGTGGTGGTGTAGAAGGAGGAGAAGATAGTAATCATTGGAGAAGCTTTGACAATTCTGTAAATGCTGTGTCATTTGGTTTTGTTGCAACTGCTATTCTTATTTCTATGTTCTTAGTTATGGCTATTTTTGAGAGGTTTCTCCGGCGAAGATCTTCCACCGCCGGTGGCCGGAATAGTACTGATCTTGTTGCTCAAATGAGGGTTCAAAGGAAACTTGATTACCCATCTCCCGAGGTATGCTTTTTCTTTCTCTCTTCCAAAATTGTATAGGACAGTATTTTATCTGAGTTAAAAAAAAAAATGTTTTATTGAGTTTACCTTTTATACTTACCGTGAAATTATCAGAAAATCCAAAACATAAGTACTACTCTATCCTTTTTAATTTATATATCTTAATTTGATTGAGTACATAATTTAAGAAAGTAAGGAAATTTTCTTAAATCTTGTTGTCTTAAATATATCACGTGAAAAGTTGAGATTAAAGAGTTACTAAATATAAAAATATATACTCTTTTTAAAACAAACTAAAAGGAAAATAAAATGCATAATTAAAACGAAGGGAGTATATGTAATCCTTTATAAAAAGGACTAGTTGTTACTTGTTAGTTACAAACTAAAATACATTGTTAGTGTTAGTTTCATTTACTATAAGTGTATATAAATCAAATTATTTATTCAATTATACTGGTAGAAAATAGCATATACCTGGTGGAATCGAACATTACCTTCATAGAAAAAAAAAAAATAATGTAGTCACATGCATGTCACAAGAATTCTGACAATGTAAATATTTTTTTTTACTCTTTCAGTATAGTTTGACATGTGATAATAGATTAACTATGTTTTACCAGGTTATTATTACTGTTTATTATCACAATATTAGTAACTTATAGTTGCCTCTCATGTAAGTGATCTGATTGTTTAATTTATTTTTTTTCTTGTCGGTATATAAAACTTAAACTCATATACAAAAATTTATTTTTTTAAAGTGATTTATGGAGCAATTTGTCATTTGTATGTTTTAATCGTTGCTTCAGCGCTTGTACTTTGCTTAGCAGGAGGAACACTGCTCTGTGATCATCACCTATCAATTACAGTCAAATCTCTTTATAACGTCTCATTTGTTCTGATACTTTTTGTTTGTTATAGCGAAGTGCTATTTTAGGTAAAATATATTATAACATAATATAAAAATCGGTTCCGAGAAAAACTTTATTTTTATAGTGAATAACTATTATATATGGATGCTGTTATAGAACGGTATGACTATACTTTTCTATTATACGTTTAATAATTTTTTGGACATAGAAATTAAAAGTAAGTGTTACTTCAATATTTCTTAAGAAAATGGAAATATATATGGTTATTCTATGTTTCTTGTATGTTTTAAGGATCATAATGAGTAGGCTAACTAACTTTTTTGTGACAGTTAATTGCTTTTTTCCTAATGCCATTATTGCTTTTTCACATAATTATGGCTATTATAGTATATAGCTGGATTATTTGACTGGGGTTCTATTCATAATTATCATTTGGTAGACCTTAGTGACTGTTGATGATTCGTGATAATCATGTCGTTGAAAAATTTATGCCTCAGACCAAAAAGAAAAAGTGATAATATTATTCCGGTTAAAGATAGTTTTTAATTCGGTGATTTTCTCAGACCAAATAGATTCGAATAGCATATGGTTAAGTTACAAAAAAATTGTTGTGTAAAATGCTTCTTTTCAGCATCATCAAATATAATTGTCCCTAGGTCTTTGGTCTAGCGGTAAAATGCGCAGCATCTGCGCGTCACGAGTTCGAACTTTGTCACAGACAAACGTCTGGTATTTAAGTGAAGAACGGTAAAGGAGTGAGCCCATTATTTATTGATTTTTGAATCGAGCGCCATTTATCCTCGGGAATTTCTCAGTTATCAAAGAAAAATACAATTTCCAAGTTGAAACATGTCATTCCTAAGTATTCATGTGATTCTTTATCTAAAGCCAAAATTATATTAGACAAGAGGTTGCTATGATGGCCCCATTGTGGCTTTGCATGGTACTATTCAAGTTAAAAGACTTTAGGGAAAAAGACTTTTTTGATTGAACCCATGTTGTGTGTCCCAGTTTTATGCATAATAGAAGACATTAATGCCCAGGATATGCTATTTTATACAAGGAGCCATTTCAAAACATGTTTTTTTTAATTGACTGATTTACAATTTTTTGGTCAGCTTGTCCCAGCATCTAGCCAAAAAAAAAAAAATATGTGGTAGGGAGACGTGAACCTATAGCTTATGACATCCTACCATATTTTGACTTTGGAGACCAAAATGACATAAGACCTTTTTTTTTCACTCGGTGTCGGATACCCATTTCGAGGTCCAACAAATCTGGATTTTGTGCTGGAAAGTCCCATATTGATGGATAATAAAGCGCTTCCTACCAATGACGATTCCATTCCTGAAACTTGAACCGAGACCTCTAGTTAAGGATGGAGGGTTAATTAGCACCTCACCACAACGTTTGTTGATTCCTTTGAGTTAATGTTGGGATTCAACATTGTGTTGAAATGTTACTTTTTTTTTTGGGAAAATAATGGAGCAGATCAATGAATATGGATTTAAAAATTCACAATCTAGATGGAGTATAAGTGGGAATATCTGAAGTTTCTATAGTGGGCTACATTATGAGATACTTGTTAACTGTTCCTTTTTAGCTAAGCAACACTTGTCTAGTAATATTCACAAGATTATTCCTAAAGCTACATTGTTTGCTTTAGATGTTTAGTTAATTGATTCCTAGAATCATGTTTTACAAGTGCTTAATGGTGGAGAGAACTAATTTATTTAAAATATAAAAGGTGGAGAAAAGTCGAGAACTAAACATCCTCTCTCGAGCCGAGGGTCTTTCGGAAACAAGCTCTCTGCCTCCCCAGGTAGGGGTAAGGTCTGCGTACACACTACCCTCTTTAGACCCCACTTGTGGGATTTCACTAGATTTTTTGTTGTTGTTGTTGGAGAGAACTAAACACTAAACATATGAATGTACAAGCATACATATTACTGTAAAGATGAAGGAACAAATTATGTCTATGTTGCATGGCAAAGTCAGAGCCATGGCTATATGCTAGACTAGATTTGATTTATAATGTACGGATTGTTTATCAGTTGGATTTACCTGTTACTCTTTTGGGTTCATTCCTTCATTTTAACTTCCATACATTGCTAGTAACCGCCAACACGGTTAAACTACACTTGCAGTATAAAATTTTTTACCTTGTTAGCGTATATAAGTTAAAATTCATTTTTTAAATGATTCTCAACTATGCAGAGTTGCCTTTCTGATTTTCTTTGTTACTACTTCAGATGACTTTTTACGCGAACGGAGTCTCAGTACTGATGCCTGGAGAAGAAGTTCCTACCTTCATAGCGCATCCCGCACCTCCACCTTGTCCTCCAGAGTGTATTCCTCAACCCCTTCATCAAGACGACGCGTCTTTAAGTCCAGCCTCAACTTCTATTGGCCATAGCCCCAATTGACAATACAGATATGAAACTGAAATTTATGGATATCAGTATCCTGAACCTGTAAAAGTAGATATTGGTAGAAATGTCCACTCATAGTGAGATGAAAACTTAAGGGCCTTTTTTCCCCTTGAGGAACTTGTCATTATATTTACATAGTGTAATGTGATTTGCCTACTGGCTTTCTTCACTACACCAGGGTATGTTCCAACTCCAGCCCTTGTTTAGATGGGGCTTGGAAGTACCAAAATGAAGAATCAGACTCACTTTCTTGCGTCTTTCTTGGTTGGCATTTTTACACGTACATCAAGGCAGATTCACAACCTCTTACAGTCTTACTCCCTTGCTTAAAACAATTTCATTATTTCAAAAAGTCTTCTCCTTTTTTATTAAGGTATTTCTTTTGAGTTAAATGTAGCATATCATGGCAAAAAGATATTATTCAGTAGGACCTAGTAAATATCCGATGGAATGATCGATGTGCGAGTAAGTTGGTCTAGACGTCATTACAACAACAACCAAAAACTTAGTATAATTCCACATGTGAAGTCTGGAGAGAGTAGTGTGTACGCAAAAACTTAGTATAATTCCACAAGTGAAGTCTGGAGAGAGTAGTGTGTACATAAGTCAAATTAACATTTTAAACTTCGTGTACACTTAAATACTACTTATAAGGACAAACCCGTATAAAGGCCCGTAATATGAACGATTCTTGAATATTAGCATTATTTTTTGTTTCAACATTATTTTTTGGTGTGTATCTTGGGTCTCCGTCATATGCATGAGATTTAATAAGTGTTTTTTGTTATTGAATAGTGAGCTTACTGCCCAGAATTCATCCCAAAAGAGGGAACAGAAGCTGCACATCCCAATAAGAATTTCCTTTTTCCAAAGATATCCTTAGGGATTACAATCTCAATAATCTCTTCTTTGACACGAATTCACTTTCTTTCACACAGTCATGCAAATTGGCCTGTCAAATAGTATATGAATTTTTTCTTCAGAGTTTGACCATTAACCCTAACCGTATGTACAAAGTTTGACTCTCTTTCCCACCGTTAAATAGTCTCATTTATCTGTAACGCTGAAAATGAAAAACTACAACGCCAGTGTAAATAGAGATTATGTAGTAGTTTGCTTATCCTTGTTAGACTCTTTGATGCTCATTATAATTCTAAGTCTAGAGTATCCAACACTACCAATGCCCACAGGACGGCATGAAGTCCTTGTATAGATTTTCCATTTTAATCGATTTCAACAAAGAACTTGAGAATAGTGACAGATGGAACAGATTTACAGTAAGGTAGATATACAACTACTACTTATACTTCATAAATAGGGTATATATGGGGCAAAAGCTAAATCTCACCAGACTTGCAAAACCTATATATTTCCTCGTTCTCCACTCTCTTTAAGGAAACATGCCATAAAGGAATAAGAGTTAAATGGCAAACCTTCTTTTTATTCGCAAAAAATCGTGTGTGGACATCAAGCCTATGGTCTGAGAAGATACTATCTGAAGACCAGAAGCTTACACCGAAGATGCTGCACGATCAGATTCTATCATGGATTTAATATAGAATTCACCTGCCTTGTATGAGGACCTAACCATGGGGCCAGAAGCCACATACCGAAAGCCCTGCCACCGATTCAGGAAGATATATTAGCTATACACAAATATCGCCAACTAAAGCATACGAGCACTTTCTCTAAACCTTCGAGTTCTATCATGTTACCAGAGAATCAAGGAGTTCTAGATTTAGTCCATTAGGTAATGCAGAAGATATGTAGAATAAAAAGGAGAAAAATTATCAGAGGTTTTTGGGAATATTTTTCAATAGACATGCCTTGGTTAGACCTCACTGGCCGTGTCATTGCCCCAAGTGCAAGCGATAGGCTTTAACAGAGTTTATTCCGATCACAAGCCAAATTAATCAATTGTAAAATGAGACTTAACTTTTTAGTCAAAAACTTAAAATAAGTTAAATTTGAATGATTTTCAAAACCATAGGGTAGGCCTATGTAATTAGGACAAACCTCAAGCGTAGTAATTAACGCTATCAACAAAGCAAGGCATGTAGGACCTACATACGAAAGAAAAGGAGAGCATAAACAAACCATTTCCATGCCGAGTACTCGATAGTTCTCAAAGGCCTCAGGAGTTATGTATTCGGATACAGGCATGTGACGCTTCGTTGGTCTCATGTACTGACCAAATGTCATTACATCAACCCCTGCTGCTCGCACCTTCTCCATTGTTTTAACAACTTGGTCAGGTGTTTCCCCACAACCCAACATTACGGACGTCTTCGTCAACGTACCAGCAGGGGCACAGTCCTTTGCCATCATCAGAACATCCATAGACTGCTTGAAGTTAGCACGATGATCTCGTACTACACGCTGAAGCTCTTCAACTGTTTCAATGTTGTGAGCGAAAACATCTAATCCAGATTTTGCAACTTTCTCAACACAGCCAGTGTCTCCTCGAAAGTCTGGTACTGCAGGATGAGAACACCATCAATACTATGACTTCTAGTACCATAAGGTCAAAAAAGCAAATAGATTTTGGGTTATCAGAAGGAAAAGGAAAAGGAAAATTCTTGGAAATAGACTTTTGAGAAGCTTGAATATGTAAAGATAACCTCTATCATGCTAAGAACGTAGACATAGTTACAAGTTCAAATGTCTAATATGTCACTTTCACTATTGCTTTCTTTGAATAAACTTCCAGAACGGAAGCGGGAAACAGCAGTTGGACAAAAATGCTAGTGTGAACTTGAATGTTAAATTCATGAATGACCAATGAGAACTAGATTTCGTTGTCAGATCACCCAATTACCGTTGATGGGGAAAAGGAATAGAACCGGTCAAAAGTACTTTTCACCAAATTTCTATGTGTTCCGCCAATGGCAAAGTTGGAGAACACACTTAAGAAATTTCCTGCAACAAAAATACTACTGAAACTAAATGCTTTAAAAGCTATAGGACATTGAAGAGAAGTTGTAACCACCCACAGCTTCTTAGTTCATATATGTTCATTATTCATTTAAATGAACACGTGTCTAAATATTTTCTTCCTCATTTTACTTCTATATATCCCAGAAAAACACTTTATGACACTGAAATGGAGCCTTAGACCTCCTTCAGAATTTGAAAAAGTTAGAACAAGGTTAAACACTTCTCTAAGTGTTACTTGGCAGTCAAAGATAAAGCATCAAAATGAAGTATTAGTTTTGATCATATTTCACATGTCAAATACAAACCGAGATGTCAAAAATCTCAGACCCACATCAAACATGTCGGTTTCATGCTCGATGAAGTTTCATGGTTCCTATTGTTAAGCTCCTTTATCAATAGATTCTTAGCCACGGCAATCAGCTTATCCAGATGTTTAAAAGGGCATAATTGGGATTTCACATACCTTATCCATCAGGAACCAGATCAGTTGTCTTTCTATCTACCTAAAGGTAGTTATTTGGTTGGTCACAAGCTTCTTAAAAACCATCAAATTAAAACATAAAACCGACAAGCATACAAACTCCACTACCATAAAATCAAGTGAAAAAAGAATAAAAGCGCAGAACTCATACCAAGTGCTTCTATGAGCATATTTGGCTTCAAGGTTTTCAACTTCTGCACTGTCTCAGCAAAATGACCGCTTCCTTGATCAGGTAGATCATCACGGTCAACACTAGTAATAACAACATAATCCAGACCCCATGAAGCAATGGCCTCGGCCACATTGGAAGGTTCGTTTGGATCCGGAGGGGGCGGAGTGCGTGATGTCTTCACATTGCAGAATCTGTTAAAGGAGCAGATCATTAAAAGGAGCGTTCTCATATATTGCAACTTACTTCTCTCAAAATCAAAACTAGGCTACTCTAAGAGGTTTCCCCTAACCTTCCCGAATCCTCAACGGATTATATAAACTACGAACTGGTGGACTAGGAAAGGAAAAGATGAGATAAATACGGTGCGTCTTTCTTAATAGTTTTCTAAAATAGAGTGTATTCATGCTCTTTGCCACATCATCATCCAGGGGGGTCGAGGCTATCAAATTTCTATGTTCAGGGGATAATTAGGCCGACACAAAGTTCAGGTGTGGACCGAATAAAAGTCGTCAAGTTTAGGAGGGGTCTCGATCTATTTGCCTAAGACCTAACTACTTATAATCCCTATGATTAATTCCCTAGCATAAGTTGCAGAAAGCACCGTAAACATCTATTACCATTACCAACAACTACCACCTTCGCCTACTCCTCTCACATGTCCAAACAACCACAACTACTACTCTACTACAAGCCTTTGCTGCTGCAATGAAATCCTTTGTTTTCCTCCTATTTACAGCAATAAGCAATTATAGGCGCCCATAAATCTCCATAAAAAACATAAAAGACAAGGAAACAACAAATGTAACCATGCTAATGTCTTAAACAACAAATGTAACCATGCTAATGTCTTCATTTACAGTTCCCCAACCCCAAACCCGAATCAGCATTTTTTTTCCTTTTGCTCTAAGTGCCAATTTGCCAATCATTGTGAGTAAACATAATTTATCAAAATGAGTTTTAAATAACAGACGTATTATAAAGATGCACAATCTATTCACGTGAGTTATAGGCAATCTTTACGTATCTTCTACCGCAAATAGACCAGTTTTAGCAAATAAGCTCGTTTTTCAGCTCTCTGATTCTTGAATGTGCAATAACTTAAGATATCTCCTACAGTCAAATCGAGTCAATTAATAATTAACATAAGAAAGACATCAAGTACCAACCAGCATTAAAATAGAAAAATGATTTTACTGCCAAAACCCAATGCAACTATAAGCTCTTGCTATCATGAGTGAACACAATTGTGGGGGAAAAAACCATAAGCATCTCGGGCAATACCAGTACTCGATGCAGACATTCACCAACTTAACTCTTTGATTTCACTTTGCATTACATCTAACTAACTTTCACTCATTCAATAATAAATCGAACTTCAGATGTCTGCCAGCTAACTCTGCCCTCCCAACTCCCAAAAGAAAATCAATTAAATCTTTTCTTTTAAATACTCCAATAAACACCAAGATGGTGTAAAAATATATGTATATGATGTTTATATGGATCTACGTTAGTCATCCCTAGTCATCTGCTATATCCATTTGGCTCTAATCGAGTCCATTTTGTTTCAATCCAACTCCCAATGGGAAAAGGAAAAGAGCATTCCTTTCCAATGCATTCATATACTCCCTCCATTCAAGTTTATGTAAATACTATTTCCTTATTAGTCTGTTCTAAACATCACCCGTTTGAAAAGACATATAGCCACAAAAACGTTATGGCATGTTTAAACCACTAAGTTTCAAAACTTGTCCTTTCTTTCTTAAACTCAGTGTTGAGTTAAACTAAATCACACAAATTGGAATGGAGAAAGTATAAAAGTATAGTAATAAGCATCACCTGCAACCTCGAGTGCAAGTATCACCGAGAATCATAATAGTAGCGGTAGCAGTACCAGTTTCACCACCTGACCAACACTCTCCCAAATTAGGGCATTTCGCTTCTTCACAAACAGTGTGAAGTTTCAATTCCCTCAATTTCTTCTTAATCTGCGTGTACTTCTCTCCACCAGGGATCGCTTCTTTCATCCATTTCGGTTTCGGCAGCCGTTTCTTCTTCGTACCTACCTCAACGGAATACTCATTTTCCGATTGCAGCCTTATAAAGTCGCCTAGCGTCGGTGACTCGGCGGCTAACCGATGGCGTAAGCCTTCTAGGGTTTGAGATGGAGAAGTAGAGGTAGGCGTTGGGGCGGAGGAAGAGAAGAATTGAGGTAAGAGAAAGTGGTGGTGGTGGTGATTCCGGTGACTGGATTTGAGTGATCGGAAAAAGAGAGTTGTGAAACGGGAATTCATTTTCCGGCGTAATTGGATGTTTTTCCGGTGCCGGAAAAGTTGGATTTGATTTTCTCGGCGGAAAGGAATTGAAATTATCTCCTTTCCGCTTCACCGTTTCAAGGCGTTGGTAGTTGGTCGTCACTGGGTCGTTGAAAAGAGATGGGCTTCTTTTATCTTTTCTCTTTTTTCTCAAAAAGAGGGAATTTTGAATATTAGGAATTTAGGATACTCGAATGAATTATTTTTAACTAGTATAAGAACCCGTGCGATGCGTGAAAATTCGACAAAATATTAATCCTATAAAATTATGATCTAATATTAGATCTAATGTGCGTCTGTGAATATTGACACAAACAGCCCAACGGCTTGTGACAGGGAGAAACAATGTTTGTTTACTGGTTTTTATTTAAGTTTTCAGGTGCTAATAAGGTGCAGCACAAATAAAATAGCATTGATTTTATTAACATTCAACATGCTGATTACTTTCAAATTGATTTCATCTATCAACTAGTTTAACACTCAAACAACATATGCATTTCGAAATGAGCTACTCAATTAAAGGTGAAATTGTTTCCTGTTTTGAATAACCTTTTTACTCCTATAACCAAACAACATAGAGGTGAGATATAACTTGATCAGAATCAATGACTAATTTTCAGCCCGAGTTATTATTTAGTTTGACAGGTTTACACAGAATACATAGATCGAATTGGCTAACAAATGCTGTCACTTCATCTTTAACCATCCAACTAATTACCAAACATGAGATTTCTAAGCTAATTAACATTCTACTACGAAAGTATAATTAGAACAGTTCATATCAAGCTACTGCAGTTCAAATTACACAATCCAGTCCTAATACAAAAGTCCATAAGATGCCAGAGAATGAATTGATAAACTTGTAGTCAGTTATACATTGACGCCATAGATAAAGAGATGGTGGAAGATGGTGTGATATGGTATTAAGTAAGAGTTATATGGTTTAGGTAACTATGGAATAGTAAAGGAAGAATGTGGTAAAAAGGCTAAAGGAATGAGATTACATTTATTTAGATTATAGAGATATATTACGACTCCAAAACATTATGCAAGCACAATTCCGGGGAGAGGCAGTAAGGGTTCCCACCCAGGATTTTATTGATAAATTATTGTGAATGAACACTTGATTTACATAAGAAGCCAGTGCGAGAGGTAAGCTAAGACAAAGGAAATAACCCAAGAGATATTACACGGAATATAGATATGAGAATGGACCATCGAGTAGTTAGTAGTTGATTCAGAAAGAGTCTAGTTATGGCTAGACAAGAGGATACAGATTAATCAACAGCTCATGCAAGATAAACGTAGTGAACCCCAACATAGGGCATTTAGTCTCGCGGATATAACATAGTGATCCTTGAGAAATATTCAGATAGAAGTTGGGGTAGTTAAAGGTACCGTATAGGTGTTACGGAAATGAAAGAGAGTGTCACTAGAGAGATAGTCAAAAACTCAACTCTAATACGAGCACACGAGTTCGGAGGTAAGTAACTAAGGATAATTTTGGGCGAGAAAGAACATAAAAAAAATCCTTCGGGTATACGATGTAATAAGCTCGCAGCTTTATAGGACTCAAAGGATGTCCCCTAAGTACTACAACGGAATACTAGCTGAGGAAATAAGGACGAAGGCTTCAACCTAAGCATAGTGACCTAAAGAATAAATGTTGTATCACTACAACTTGTATGCACTCTATAAGAAAGTGGCACCTATCGTGGCTAATGAACAGGAAGAAAAAAATCAAAAGTGATATTTGAGATCATATGAAGTAATTGCTTGTGTTTAAAGACAATTGAGAAGGCACGAAAGGAAATCTATGGCGCTAGCAAGTTCAAGGAAGGTTGTGAGTAGTATAAAAAGATATGTGTAGGTCATAAACTAAAGCATGGTAGAGTGACAAGGTGAGTGAGAAGGTGACAAGAATAGGCAAGGCTTCAGAATTAAGCCCATCAAAATAAGAGCGCTGATGGTTTTCATAAGTTATGCAAAGCTCTGTATAGATTGAATAAACTCAGAGAAGTTTAACACTAGGATCTTTTAGAAGAGATGAAATGTTGTCCTGGTAGTAGAATATGAGTGTGAGTGTGATAAGCAATAAGAGGATGATGTTTAGGAATATAGTCTTCAATTGAAGTAATGGTTTAACGAGAAAGGATTTGATGAATTGCACGGGATTAGAATACCTCCCAAAAGATGAATCACATTTAGCTGCTATGAAATATGGTTATTGAAGTATAGCATCGTCCCCAAGGTAGATTAGGAAAATCACTTTAGATGTTCCCTGATGCTATGTGAGCCCTAGTAACAATGTATTACATAAGAAATTTCAAGTTATCAATGGTAGATTATAGATCAGCATTAAGGTGAGTCATCAATTGATAGATGGAATTCCCGATGTAGGAGAGGAGATAAGGATGTCATTCTTTAGATGAACAATAATAAGGAATCATTAAAGGACTTAAATTTATACATATAGGATAAGTAGTGAGAGAGTAACCTGGAGTTGCGTAGAAGACCCCTGTAATAATAAATCGAAGTAAGAGTTATGACATAGTATGACCTACCTAGATGTAGTAAAGCCATAAGCAAAGATAACCGAAGATATAAAACAAGATATAGCAATGATCGTAAGTTTGACAAAGTAACAAGCGAAGAACTTCAATACACTTATAGATGCCCAAAGGGACAACTTGTCATAGTTCTGTATATGTTCACAAAGTGAGACCTAGAGATTGGCTAAATGCTGGAGGAAAAAGGAGAGAAGAGTCGCATAGGCGCACATACATGGACAAAGTCGTACAGACTACATGATATAGGTAGAAATAGTTACGAGATTAGAAGCATTCCGACCACAAGTCGTGGTGTGAGAAAGAGGCCTAAAGGGGGTAATGCCCTGGCCTTTGGATTTATTAACAAAATAGTTGCCTGGATGGAAAGGAGAGTATTAAAGTATCCGTAAGAGCTATATGTTATGAGAATGATAAGCGCATCAGTCAATATTCGAGGACGAATGTTCCAAGGGGGGGGGGGGGGGAATAATGTTACACCCCATGATCGTAAGTCAATTCATGTAAGCTCGGAAATGAGATCCTCTTTGAAAGTATATAATGTAATTGAATGATGCTACGCCTCATTTTCGCAAGCCTATAAGAGGTAACATTCGGGAACGAATGTTTCTATGGGGCGAAGGATGTTACACCCCCGTACTTTTCATGCAATTCGCTTATGGTTGCTAATTAATCGATTAAAGTGCACTCGTAGTATTCTCCCAAATTACTACTCACCTGCCCAAAATAGATTAAGCATATATTATTATGGAATTAATCAATCAAGAATGCATTATGATCACGATATTCAATTAAGCATGGTGTTTATGTATATTCCTATCCTAGCTTCAAATCCACCCCCACTTTAGAGATACGATCATGCCCTGTTTAATTTTTGTCTAATCTAAACATAGGTTTCCTAATCATTATTCAGATAGTTGATAGAACTTGATCGTTGGCCATACAATCAAATAATTAAACACATAATTGAAGTAAAGCCATGTAATAGTGAATTACAATCAAGGAGTAGTTAACGCCAGAACTAATGGGTCTTAGCCACCCATGATAGTACTAAACAATTTCACAAGTGTTTGAATTGTTGAAAATACTAAGAATAATGAAGAAAAATTGAGAATCCTTGCTCCCGAGAGTTTCGTGCTTGTATTTTGCTCTCAAAGTGGCGTCACTCTTTCCAAAGTAGGGTTTGAATTCTTTTTATTCGTGTTAGGGTCGTGTAGGGTCGTAAAAACCAAGTCCCCCGCGAAATAGGAGATTTCTTGCCCCAGCATCCAGGGCAGTGCGACACGCTAGCCCTACGTTGTGTTGAGATCCCCAAAAAAATTGTGTCTGACTCTGCGTCCCAGGCAGCACGACGCGCTGGTCTTGGTGCTGGCCTGAGGAATTTTTCTCTTTTCTTCCCTTTTTTCTTCAACTCGTGCCCTTTTATTTTACATTGCTTTCAGGTGACTCCTACACATAAGAATACCACAAATTAACATAAATCATTACAATACACATACAAATCCATGAAATTTGAGTAAAAATATGAGGCGACATCCATATAAATACACATACTTTAAGCCAAATATCAATGGAGTATTGAGGTTTTAGGCCGGATTTGTATGCCTAATGTTGATGGGTTTCGAGAGGTGATTCTTAAGGAGGCCCATAGTTCGCAGCATTCCATTTATCTAGGTGCCGCAACGATGTACCATAATTTGAAACAACATTATTGGTAGCAGAGGATGTAGAAAGATATTGTAGAGTATGAGGCACTTTGTTTGAATTGTCAGCAAGTTAAGTGTAAGAATTAGAGACATAGTGGGTTGCATCAGAGACTAGATATTACGGAGTGGAAGTGGGAGTGTATCACTAGGTATTTGTGGACAGACTGTCCATGTCTGCACATTTCATTCCAGTCATTACTCTACACTTCAGGGTGGCTGGCTCAAATTTATCTTAGAGAGGTTGTTCGCCTGCATGGTATGCCTGTGTATATTATCTCGGATCGAGGCACTCAGTTTATATCATATTTTTGGAGAGCCGTGCAGTGAGGCTTGGGCACACAGGTCGAGCTCAGTGCGACATTTCATCCCCAGAAGGAAGGACAATCCGAGCGTACTAATCTTGGAGGACATGCTGCAAAACCGTGTCATTGATTTTGGGGGCTAGTGGGATCAGTTTCTATCATCAGCAGAGTTCACCTAACACAATAGATGCTAGTCAATTATCTAGATGGCTTTGTATGAGGCCTTATATGAGAGGCGATGTCGATCTCCGGTTGGTTTTTTTGAGCCTGGGGAGGGTAGGTTGTTGGGCACTCTAGTTTGTGATGCGTTGGAGGAGGTGAAATTATACCAAGTTTGTCACGCCCCAAACTCAGGGAGCGCGACCGGCGCTCAACCGAGTGAACCCAGCCGAGCAAGTCGGTTATATACTTTCTACCTAAAATCCCTCATGAACAAAGATAAGACATATTCTCATTAATTAGACAATAGGGAGATTATATATACAATGCCAAATCATTTTCATTAGCTACTTCTTTATTAATGTCTCAAAATACATACACTTTCAAAGTCTAAAGTG